TGGATGGTTGTGCACTGCAGTAACAGTGAATAGCGCCTTCTAGAGTTGGGCATTTCAAAAATATATGGGTTGGCCCTAATTCATGTTAACATCCACGTTTTCTAGAAATGAAGGCTCAGAAATGAAATGACTTTATAAGGTTACGCACTGGTATAGTGCAGAGGCAGAGCTCTCTTCAGATGTCATTTCTAGTCCCCTGCTCCCGACACCTTGCCGTCTGCCTTAATGCTTTCTGCATTTTGACTTCTCTCATTTGCACCAAGAAATAGTTGGTGCTATTCACTGTTTCTTCAAATCAACCGGAATTCCCTGAGGGCAGGGTCTGTGAGCTTGGCACACAGTAGATGCCACATTAATATTATTTGATTCACTGACATAAATGTAGGGGAAAAACTGGTGCAGTAATATCCCGAGTGGGTGTATGATTGGGGTGAATAATTTCCATAAGGCCGAGAAAGAGCTTTCCTTTGAGGATTAAACCCAGCCAGCTCTGATCTGAATCAGAGAAATACCAGAGGGAAAAAAAAAGTTTGTTTTGGATCAGTGTTTTCCTAAAGTTCAATCATGATCCTTGTCATATCTAAAAATGCTTGTATATTTAATGTAGGTATGTTTTCCCATTACTCATTAAAATAAGTATATGACTACTAAGAAATGTTTAAGTGTTTCCACGTTGTAAGAAACTAAGTCATGAGGCAGCACTGGACTTGACTACTTTCCTGGTCCTGTCTGGGGATAGGAGGAAAGATAATAGGACTCAGTCGGAGGAGAATTTTGTTTCCTGTTGAGGAAGTAAAGGGGACTTATTAGTTCATCAGCATTTCCTGGATGAGGTGCTGTTGGCATGGAACAAGAGAAGGCACAAAGTCTGCTTGGGAAGGTTGGCCGTTTAGGGGAGAGGACGAGATGCTAAGGAGGTAGAAGAGGGCTGCTGGGGCCATAGCAGTGCCAATTTACAAATGCAAATCCACTGGACAAGAGACAGGCCAAGAGAGCACTTAGGGATAATGACTCTTACCCTTCATTCTACGGAACTGGAAACTAAGGTCAGAAAGTGAGTGGATATGAGCAAGGTCCTCTGAATGTGTGAATAAGGACTAGAGCCCAAACACCCAGGTGGTCCGTGGCTGGGGAGCCACCACGTGTTAAGGCTTTGTTTAGCATATTTCTGTTGAGGGGACGGTAGAAAGCTCCTTGGGTACCCAGTTTGGAATGTGGATGTGGAGCACAGGCAGCAGAATGCCACGAGTTAAAAGCCATCATGAATAAAACGTGGACAGGTAGAAAGCATCCATGATTCCTCTTTGGACCCTTAGTTGGATCAAGAAGATTGTCCCTCTGGCTGAAAAACATCATTAAAAAGAAATAAGAATTGGGGAAATTTGAACATGAACTCAGTATTTGCCAATGGATATTGAGGGATAATTGTTAAATTTTAAAGGGGTGATAATGGTATTGTGGACCTGTTGAATAGACACATATTTATGTATTTGTGGATAAAATGACACAATGCCACTTTGCTTTAAGAGAAGCTAGTGGTAGGGGAGTGGTGGTAGAATCAGGCTGAGGTCCGATGAGACAAGTGTGGCCTTGATTTGATACGTGGTGAAGCTGAGTGATGGATACATGGAAATTTATTCGACTATTCTCCTCTTTTTGTGTATGTTTGAAATTTTCCATAATAAAAAGTTAAGGAAAAGATATCCTGATCCCCAAACTACTGCAGGTCATTTGATAAATCCTTGGTGGTTTCCCATGCGTGTACTTCACACACAGAAGGTCAGGGAGCCAGCAGTGTGTTTGTGTCTTAGTGAAGGAACTAGTGCTGGTTATTTAACTGCTCTGAGTTTCAGTCTCTCTATCTGTAAAATAAGAATAGTGATAACATCTTCTATGTCAGGGTGGTGAGGATGAAATGAATTTGGCAGGTAGAATGCTCAGCTCAGGACCTAGCGTGAAATTGAGGCTCAATACTTGTTTCCTTCTTCCCCTTCCGTCTCAGGACTGGGATGTACATGTTGACTAAAACCACTCTTCTCCATGTTGCTAGCTTCTGGAGCCAAATCCTGCGGAGAGAACGCATTGGTTCTAGTGCAAGTGTGGAGAGGACCCTTTAAGATTCACTCTTTATTGGCTTTGACTAATCTTCCCAGAAATCCTGGATCTCAAGACCTTAAACCGACCAAAAAGTGGTCTGGGTTATCTACAGTGAGATGCATTATGATCACAGACAGCTCCAGGAGCCAGTGTGCTTTTCCAATGGACAAATGGGAAAACCACGGAGGCTGAACTTCTTTAAATAAGATTCCGATTGCAGAATGCCTTCACGCCCTTGCTGTCTCGAAGACTGAGCATATCCTTACACAGTTATTGACCACAGTTAATGGCATAGAGCTGCATCTTCTATTTATCTAGCTTTTTAAGTTTTAAAGAATTCTAAACAACTTTATATACCATGCAAATTGTTTTTCTCTCTCTCTCCACACACACACACACACACACACACACACACACACGTAGACAACCTGACTTGTTTTTTATCTTCTCTATCTGTACAGTTGTGAAAATAACCTAAGACATAGGAATTGATATCTAGAGAGCACTTGGACATCCTTGGATGACATGCTTGTGATGTGACTCTCATGATATGACCTTGATCTTTTTATTTAAATTCATTGCTGCAATGTTTGCCTCTTCTCCAGGATGTATTCCACGTGCTCACTTCTTTTTGAATACAATTCATAATTCTCGCGTTAGTGAAATCTACTTTTCCTTATAATAATACCTTATGATTCTTTGGCACTTGGTGGTTTTTGCATAATTTCATTTAATCTCACGACAGTATTGTGAGCTAAATAGGGCACATATGATTTCCATTTGACAGGTACCTTTCATTGACTTTTCAATGTCGGAAGGTGCCTTTGAGATCATGAAGCCTGACTCCCTCTTTTTCACTAGTGAAAAGCCTGGGTCTCAAAGAGGGTAAGAGAGCTCTCGGGTTTCAATGTACCCATCAGTGGCAAAACCAGGATGAGAATTCTTGTGCCTTTTCAATCTTTTTTTTTTTTTGAGACGGAGTTTTGCTCTTGTTACCCAGGCTGGAGTGCAATGGCGCGATCTCAGCTCACCGCAACCTCCACCTCCTGGGTTCAGGCAATTCTCCTGCCTCAGCCTCCTGAGTAGCTGGGATTACAGGCACGCGCCACCATGCCCAGCTAATTTTTTGTATTTTTAGTAGAGACGGGGTTTCACCATGTTGACCAGGATGGTCTCGATCTCTCGACCTCGTGATCCACCCGCCTCGGCCTCCCAAAGTGCTGGGATTACAGGCTTGAGCCACCGCGCCTGACCAGACTTTTCGGTCTTCAATGCTGGTGTCTTTAAGTCTTTAACCCTCAGCTAAGCAAATTGGATATTCTACTTGACTTACAGCTGCCCTAACCACCTGCAGCCAGAATCACCTGAGGGGGCTGCTTAGAAATGCGGATACCTGGGCCATACCCCAATCTGTGTGAATCAGACTCACAATGGGAGCCTCGGAAATCTGCATGTAAAACTCACTGGGGCTATTCTTCTGTAATGAAATGTGTGAGAGCTGCCAGCTCACTGGAGTTAAGCTCTGTGGATCTGAATCCCATTTTATGCCGTGTTCTTGAGGTCCACAGCCACCATCATGAATTCCTCAGGGTCCCTTGCTGACTTTAACACCACAGGCTGAACGCTCATTCCTCAGTGATATGTCTGGGATGGTTTTTCTTTCTTTCCAAAATTATTACTCAGACTCTGCTTTGAGTCTAGCATTGCATTGGAAGCTGGGGTGGATATTGAAGGGGCTGCTAGCAGAAAAGACTCAAGGGTAGCTAAGAGTGAGAGAGATGCTGAGATGGGCAAGAGAGAGGGCTGGGCTCACCAGTGGCGCCACCATTTTGAACACAGCAATTTGGGGGCTGTTTGGATGATTCAAGCCGCCTCTCTGCTCGTGCCAGGTGTGAGTATACACCTGTAGGTGATGTCACTTGAGAGCAGTGTTTGTTCCTCCTTTACGGTGACAGAATGTTCCAGAGGTCACGCTTAGTGCGTTTGTACATCACCTTTTTTAATCCTGAAAATATCTCTATGAGGCAAAGAGTAGATGAACTTATCCCAATTTGAAATTGTGGAAATTAAAGCTCAAACAGCTTGCCCAAATTCTTGTTAACTGGTAAGTAGTGAGGCCAAGGCTGAAAATATTTGGTTGACTCTAAAATCAATGCCTTTGACCTCCATGATATATAACTGTTTCTCATTATTCATGGATTCCGTATTTGTGAATTTGCCTACTTGCTAAAATGTGTAACCAGCAAATCAATACTTGTAGCACTTTATGGTAATTTTCAGACATGCACAGAAAGGGGAAAATTTGAGTTGGGTGATGCTGAGTGCCCAGCTCTTATGCTGGAAGACAGGGTCCATTGTGCAGTGTATCTAGCGCCACGTTTTTTGCCGCCTCGTGCATTATGTTGGTGATTTTGCTGTTAAAATGGCTTCCGAGCCATTTCAGGTCAAGTGCTGTCTAGTATTGGCAAACAGAAGAAGGTATGCTGTGTGGCATGGAGAAAACGCGTTAGAGAAGTTTCGTTCGGGCCTAAGTGGCAGCGCTGCTGACGCGAGTTCGATGCTGGTGAATGAACGATGAGCACTGAATGAGGTTATGTACCGCTTGGATAACAAAAGGAGAGCCCAGGCTCAAGGGGACGCATTTCCGGCAGGAGCAATGGTTCTGTATTCGGTAATTCAGTGGAATTCATTGTCGGAGATGACTTCATAGAACAGAACTCGCCGCAATGACAAGGATCGGCCATTTCCTTTTGAGGCCCCCAAGGGGCAAAAGTGCCCACTGTGGCCAAGCCAGACGATCAGACGCAGCTTCTCCGGGGACGTCGGGTCCCCGTGGTTTGTCAGGCAGCCCTGAGGGTGTCAGTGTCATCACTAACGCTGGGCTCTCCCGTTCTCTCCCGCAGAGGGGCGCAGCCGAGCCCTCCCCGAGGCTCCACAGCTCCTGCAGCCCCGGGGGCTGCGCGCGGCCCCGGCTGAGCCGCGGGGTCGGGAACCACCGCTCCGCCCCGCTGATCCGCGTCTCCTCCGCGCCCTTGGACCGCATGGAGCCCCCCCTGTCCCAGGCCGACCTGGAGCTGGACTACAACCCGCCGCGGGTGCAGCTCAGCGACGAGATGTTCGTGTTCCAGGGCGGGCGCTGGGTGAGCGAGAACTGCCGCCTGCAGCCGCCCTGCTTCTCCCCCTCGGCCTCCTTCCACCGCAAGCTGCACCACAAGAGGCTGCCCCAGGAGTGGGTGCTGCAGGAGGAGACCAGGGCGCTGCGCGAGGAGACCCGGCTGCTCCGCGGGGAGACGCGGCTGCTCCGCCGGGAGACGCGGCTGCTGCTGGAGGAGAACAGGCTCCTGCAGGCCTGGGAGGAGCACAAGGCCCCCCGGGGCGGGCAGGACAGCGCGGCCCCGGAGCGCGTGAAGGAGGACCACGCCGCCCTGCAGGGGCCCCGCGGCCAGGACGACAGCGCCCTGCAGCTCCTCCGGGAGGAGAACCGCGCGCTGCGGCAGCTGCTGGAGCAGAGACAGAGCTTCTGGGCCCGAGCGGAGGACGCGGCCGCCCCCGCCGAGGAAAGCAAGCCCGCCCCGTCGCCCCACGAGGAGCCCCGGAGCCCCGGGCTGCTGCAGGACCAGGGCTCCTGCCTCTCCTCCCCCTTCGAGGAGCCCAAAGGGCCGCTGTCCGCTCAGGAGGACCCCAAGGCGATGCGCACTCTGTGGGAGACGGTCGGTGACATGTCCGGGCCCCCCGGGGAGGAGGCCGCCAAGGCGGGCCCCGGCCTGCCCGACGACTGCCAGCCCCTGCAGATGCTGAGAGTGATGAGCCAGGCGCTGGAGGCCCTGCGCGAGGAGAACCGGCTCCTGCAGGAGAACAGGGCCCTGCACGTGCTGCGGGAGGAGCGCCGGGGCTTCCTGGAGGAGAACAAGGCCCTGTGGGAGAACAACAAGCTGAAGGTGCAGCAGAAGCTGGTCATCCACACCGTGACCGAGGTCACCGCGCGCATGGAGATGCTCATCGAGGAGCTCTACGCCTTCATGCAGGCCGAGGGCAAGGGCCCCAAGAAGCCCAGCCGCATCTGAGGCCTCCACCGTGCCCCGGACGCTGAGTGTGGGAACCGAACTCTCGGCGAAGGACAACCCCCTGCTTCCTCTGTGGTCCTCGCCTTCCCCCAGCAGTTCGTGCCTATGGAAAAGCAGCGTTAGTGTCCTTCCTCAGCGCAGAGTAGTAATAAAGACGTGAGGACGCTGGGCCCGTTGACACCAGCGCGTTGCCTCGCTTCTTTCTCTTTATTTTTTATAAAAAGTAGACGATATCTTAGAGTAGTTTTGGATTCACAGCTAAATTGGGCAGAAAGTACAGCGAGTTCCCGGACTCCTCCCGCATTCTCATCATCCTGCAGGCTGCTACGTTAGTGACAGTCTGAACCTACATTGACACATCAGAATCGTTCCACAGTCTGTAAGTTTGCATTAGGGTTTGCTCCTGGTGTCGCACATACCGTGAGTTTACAAACGTACAGTGACATGCGGCCAGCACTGCAGTACCACACAGAGTATTTTCACTGGGCTAAACATCCTCTGTGCTTCGCCTACTCATCCCTCCCTCCCCTTCCCACCTCTGGCCGCCACTGAACTTTTTAACTAACTGTATTCATAGTTTTGCTTTTTCCGGAATATCATATAGTTGGAATTGTCAAGTGTGGAGGCTTTTCAGGTTGGCTTCTGTCACTTGGATATGCATTTAAGTTTTCTCCGTGTCTTTTCATAGATTCATAGACAGCTCATTTCTTTTTAGCACTGAATAAAATGCCATTGTTTGGGTGGAACACAGTTTATCCTTTCATCTGCTGAAGAACATCTTGGTTCTCTCAAGTTTTGACAGTTAGGAATCTGGCTTCTCTCCTCTTTCCCTCTGGTCTCTTCTTTGCCTCTGCCTCTGTTATTGTCTCCTTTTTCCTTTCAGTTCCTCTCTTTTCCTTTGCTTTTTCTTCCTCCTCTTCTCCTATGTTTCTTGCTCTCTCATCATCTCCAATTCTGAGGCTCTGGGGGCGGGGGTAGATCTATTGGAGAAGAGGTCACCCTCAGCCAGGGTTTTTAAATTGTGCCAGTATTATTTGGGGCTGGATAAGCCTGGGCGGGGACTGTCCTGTGCACCTCGCAGTGTTCACCAGCATCCCTGGCCTCTACTTATTAGATGCCAGTAACAGCCACCTGGCCCTGCCCCCCAGCTGTGACAGCCAAGTGTGTCTCCAGACATTGCTGAATGTCCCTGGGGGACAAACTTTCAACACTGCTCCAGGTTTCTCCAAGTACCATGGACTGCAACACAGGTCCTAGAAATACACTGAGAAAAGTAAAGGGTTGCAGGAGAAATGCTGCTAGAATCTCTTCCAGCAGTTTTATAATCATACTCTGACTTAAAGGCCCTGACAAGTCCTGCAGTGAAGTGATCTGCTTATCCTTGGTGAACCCTTAATTGCCCGATTTTATTTGGTCTTGAAATCTTTTTCTGTGTTTTCTCTGTTATTCACCCAGTTTGGGAAGGAGTGCCTGTGCTCTCCACAACCCCAGGCTCACTTCCCTACCCCGGGCTCACTTCCCTACCCCGGGCTCACTTCCCTACCCCGGGCTCATTTCCCTACCCCAGGCTCATTTCCCTACCCCAGGCTCACTTCCCTACCCTTGGATTCCCTCTATTTGCTCGTGGTTCACACTTACTAGTTCGCCACAAGAGATAGGGGTGGTTGGCTGCTCAAGATTTGCTGTTTCGGGCTTCGATTCCCATTTCAAAGTTGGACATACTTTAGAACCAAGGAGTCGAAAGGTACCCTTAGACTATACAAGTGGTTCCCAAACTTTGCTGTATAGTGGAACCATGGAATCACCCGAGGGTCTTTGACTAACACTGAAACTGGGACCCCACCTTAGACATTATGATTTAATTGATACTGACTGTGACTGGGCAGTGACGCATTAAAAGCTCCCCAGGTGATTTCAATATGTAGCGACGTTTAAGAATCACGTAGTAGGACAGCTAAGCCTTCTGATTCTCCATATAATGCTTCATTCACTAGTAATGAAAATGAATGAGTATGTACGTGTTAAGGAAGTTTACCCATCTTGCTGATGGGAGAACTGATCCTTGTATGGAGACAGACATGGGTTTGAAACTAGGATATTCTCACTCCTCATGCATTACTCATGCCGGCTAAATTTCTAAGACTTGAAGAAGCCAAAGGCAGTCACCCTCACCCACAGATCCCTTTGCACCCCACTTTTCACTTGATATGACCTCCAGTAATCCTGTGAGGAAGGCGGTATTGTTTGTTCCACAGCTATGGAAACAGGAACTCCAAGGGATTTTCAGAGGTTAGCCAGCTGGTAAAAGCCAAATGGGGACTTCAGTGTAGACCAAATGACTGCAGATCTCACACTCCTTCCATGAGATCAGATCGCCAAGTAACCCTGGTCTCTGAAAACTGAGTGTAATAATGGTTTTGGGGCCAGGAGTGGTGGCTCACACCTGTAAACCCAACACTTTGGGAGGCTGAGGTAGGAGGATTACTTGATTCCAGGAGTTTGAGACCAGCCTGGGCAACATGGCAAAACCCTGTCTCTACAGGAAAATAGAAAAATTAGCTGGGCACTGTGGCGTGTGCCTGTAGTCCCAGCTACTCAGGAGGCAGAGGCAGGAGGATCTCTTGAGCCAAGGAGGTTGTGGCTGTGATGAGTTGAGATCACACCACTGCACTCCAGCCTAGTTGACAGAGTCTCGGAAAAAAAAAAAAAAAAAAAAGGCGTTGGTGTCTATTTCTCAGATTAGCAACTTGTCAAGTCTTACTCAAAATAGCATCAGATATTCCAAAGGAGGGAGAACAAACTAAAGACAGGGGTATTTCCTCTAACTGACTACATACCTCATCTTCATACAGGGGCAGAAAGTGGCCGATGTCTATGCATCGGCCTGTCGTCACCAAAATCTGAAAAATAGGAAGTTGTTGTTGACAGGCCTCTGGCCCTTGGCAGTGTTTTGCCCTCCTGTATTTGGTAAATTCATCATTCAGGGCCCCGTGAAGTACCATACTTTGTTTAAGTCAGTATCATAACCCTGGAGGGTAGGGTTCTTTTTTTTTTGTTTGTTTGTTTGTTTTTTTGACAAAACCAAATTGATTTCTGTGATTCTAGACAACTGGAAGACAAAAGGCACACTCCCCATGTTTGAGTCGCAAATGTGAACTTGGATGAATGAATATAACAGCAGATACATGTTTTCTCACAGGCTGACAGAACTCAGAGAACGTAATACTATTTAACAACGTCAGCTTTGTCAGACAGAATCCAAATGGGTGAAAAATTGGCAAGATGAGCCATAAAATGTCATTTTTTATGAAGTGGGGGAGATTTACTTCGAAACAATGTTTCATTGTGTAACGCAATGTGTCACAGATGAGCTAACAATCTAGCAGGATCCAAGCGCCCACGGAACAGAATGAAATCCATTCTCCAAGGAGAGTGTCCTTGAAACCTCTGCATTCCTTTCTCAGCTTTTTCTTTGTCTGCCTCCTGGTCCAACCTGAAGCCCTTCTCTAGGGACCAAGGCTGTTTCTGCTTGCAGGGCAGGTCTTGGCTTCAGTCTAAATATTCCGTTTTTCTATCTTCTTCCATTTGGCCCTTGACTTGGCTGGCTTTCTTGATTACTGGAATAAGCCCTCCTGCTGAATTGGCTGAATGTTGTTGATAGGTCTACCTGGTGCCATAAGTCTTGGGTCAGGTCAAATAAAGAGAAACATTCACAACCTAAAACAACTGGCTAGTGTGCAACAAAAATAATAATCCTAAGTCCCCCAGCCACCTGAATAGGCCTCCCCTTCTTGGCCAAGGGGACTGAGAGGAACCTGAAAAACTGAATTTCCAGCCATGATGGGAAGGGAGGTCCGATGTGCCTTGTGATACTGTCCCCTTTTGGAGTTTAGGCACAGCTGACCAGCACCAACATTGAAATAGCACAAGACTCACAAAACAGACTCTCTGTGGCAACCAGATTCCAACCTGACTCTTGCATAGCATCACATGACAGCAGACCCTGAAAGAAATAACAGCATTTTACCTGAAAATGTATTTCTTTGACATATTTTGAATTCACCCTGGAAAACCGTCTCTTGGGGTGGTAGGGAGGATTTGCATCCACAGAGAATCTTCATTAATGCAACTAGGCCTTCCCTTTCTAAGTCTTTCCCAGATCTAGCAGAGATTAAATGATAACCTGACACCTTCAAGGTCTGAAAAGAGACATTTATCATCTATTCTTGCTGAGGTCTGCTAGCGGAAGCTTCATCTACATAATCAAAACCTTGGTCTTCACAACCTCTCCTTAACTCAGGTATTTATTTCTGCTGATTTTGAGTCTTCAGACAAAGCATAGGTTTTTCAACCAGTTGCCAATCAGAAAATCTTTGAATCCACTCATGACCTGTAAGCATGGCTCCCATCCCACCTTTCATGCCACATCCCCCTGCCCAGGTGTATATGTGATGTATACCTTCTGTGTATTGATTTATGATTTTACCTGTAATTTCTGTCTCCCTAAAATGTATAAAACCCAAATTCAGCCCTGACTGCCTTGGGCACACTTTCTCAGACCTCTAGAGACTGTTCTCCTGGCCGTGGTCACTCATATTGGCTCAGAATCAACCTCTTAAAATATTTTACAGAGTGTGGTTTTTCTGTTAACACTAGTTAATGGAGTCTCCAGAATCATTGTGTGTGGGGGAATTCTAATAGGGAACCGTCTATGCAAGGATGGTCATCCCGAGCATACAGTGCCAACGATAGGAACAGAATCAAAACACTCTGAAGGAAACCCTGTTGGTTTCTGAATGCCTCAGATTCCATTCTTGAACTTTTCACTTTCCGAGGAATTTCCATAAAATAGGGTGACCTTAATATGCATATATATATATATATGTATATATATATATATATTTTATATATATAAAAATTTGTTATTCACCCAGTTTGACCTTAATATGCATATATATATATATGTATATATATATATATTTTTTTATATATATAAAAATTTATATATATAAAAAAAATATATATATATATATTTTTTTTTTTTTTGTGAGACGGAATTTCGCTCTTGTTACCCAGGCTGGAGTGCAATGGTACAATCTCGGCTCACTGCAACCTCCACCTCCTGGGTTCAGGCAATTCTCCTGCCTCAGCCTCCCAAGTAGCTGGGATTACAGGCACGCACCACCATGCCCGGCTAATTTTTGTATTTTTAGTAGAGACGGGGTTTCACCATGTTGACCAGGATGGTCTCGATCTCTTGACCTCGTGATCCACCTGCCTTGGCCTTCCAAAGTGCTGGGATTACAGGCTTGTGCCACCGCGCCCGGCCAATATGCATATTGTCAATGCTTGCTGGAGCCAGTGTTAAGCTGGGCAGAGCAGGGCGCAGCTGAAAGGAGGGTAAACTGACAAAATGTATCTCATGGAGGAAGTCAAGACCCCTAAGTCCTCCTTAGTCTCTGTCAGCTTATTGTCCTCCATCTTGAATTTCTGATTCATCATGGGAAATATCTTTTACTGGGAGTCATGTCGTTTTTAGAATATTCTGAATATACAAAGAACAGCTGCTGGGAATCAGCTTTCTTTCCATTCAGAATACTGGGCCTGAGCTGGTCTCCCGGTCATTTTGCAGCAGACAGAATGGTTGTGCTCGGAGTTGCCCACCCCCTTCCTTATTCACATGCTGGTCTTCTCTAAGCTGAGCTCTTATCAGTTTCTCTGGGTAAACAGTTCTTTCCAGATGCCTTACC